AGTTACTACGCCACTGATAATGTAGTTACTACGCCACTGATAATGTAGTTGCTATGCCACTGATAATGTAGTTACTACGCCAATGGTAATGTAGTTACTACACCACAGAAAATGTAGTTACTACACCACTGATAATGTAGTTACTATGCCACTGATAATGTAGTTACTACGCCACTGATAATGTAGTTGCTACACCACTTATGATGTAGTTTGCTACACCACAGAAAATGTAGTTACTACACCACTGATAATGTAGTTACTATGCCACTGATAATGTAGTTACTACGCCACTGATAATGTAGTTACTACACCACTGATAATGTAGTTACTACACCACTGATAATGTAGTTACTACACCACTGATAATGTAGTTGCTACACCACTGATAATGTAGATTACTACGCCACTGATAATGTAGTTACTACGCCACTGGTAATGTAATTACTACACCACAGAAAATGTAGTTACTACGCCACTGATAATGTAGTTACTACGCCACTGATAATGTAGTTACTACGTCACTGATAATGTAGTTACTACGCCACTTATAATGTAATTACTACATCACTGATAATGTAGTTACTACGCCACTGATAATGTAGTTACTACGCCACTGATAATGTAGTTACTACGTCACTGATAATGTAGTCACTACACCACTGATTATGTAGTCACTACATCACTGATAATGTAGTTACTACGCCACTGATAATGTAGTTACTACGCCACTGATAATGTAGTCACTACGCCACTGATAATGTAGTTACTACGCCACTGATAATGTAGTTACTACGCCACTGATAATGTGGTTACTACGCCACTGATAATGTGGTTACTACACCACTGATAATGTAGTTACTACACCACTGATAATGTAGTTACTACGCCACTGATAATGTAGTTACTACACCACTGATAATATAGTTACTACGCCACTGATAATGTAGTTACTACGCCACTGATAATGTAGTTACTACACCACTGATAATGTAGTTACTACGCCACTGATAATGTAGTAACTACGTCACTGATAATGTAGTAACTACACCACTGATAATGTAGTTACTACACCACTGATAATGTAGTTACTACACCACTGATAATGTAGTTACTACACCACTGATAATGTAGTTACTACGCCACTGATAATGTAGTTACTACACCACTGATAATGTAGTTACTACACCACTGATAATGTAGTTACTACGCCACTGATAATGTAGTTACTACGCCACTGATAATATAGTTACTACGCCACTGATAATGTAGTTACTACACCACTGATAATATAGTTGCTACACCACTGATAATGTAGTCACTACACCACTGATGATGTAGTTACTACACCACTGATAATGTAGTTACTACGCCACTGATAATGTAGTTACTACGCCACTGATAATGTAGTTACTACACCACTGATGATGTAGTTACTACACCACTGATAATGTAGTTACTACACCACTGATAATGTAGTTACTACACCACTGATAATGTAGTTTCTACACCATTGATAATGTAGTTACTACACCACTGATAATGTAGTTACTAGGCCACTGATAATGTAGTTGCTACACCACTGATAATGTAGATTACTACGCCACTGATAATATAGTTACTACGCCAATGGTAATGTGGTTACTACACCACAGAAAATGTAGTTACTACACCACTGATAATGTGGTTACTACACCACTGATAATGTAGTTACTACACCACTGATAATGTAGTTACTACGCCACTGATAATGTAGTTACTACACCACTGATAAGGTAGTCACTACACCACTGATAATGTAGTTACTACGCCAATGGTAATGTGGTTACTACACCACAGAAAATGTAGTTACTACACCACTGATAATGTAGTTACTACACCACTGATAATGTAGTTACTACGCCATTAATAATGTAGTTACTACGCCACTGATAATGTAGTTACTACGCCACTGATAATGTAGTTACTACGCCAATGGTAATGTGGTTACTACACCACTGATAATGTAGTTACTACACCACTGATAATGTAGTTACTACGCCACTGATAATGTAGTTACTACACCACTGATAATATAGTTACTACGCCACTGATAATGTGGTTACTACACCACAGAAAATGTAGTTACTACACCACTGATAATGTAGTTACTATGCCACTGATAATGTAGTTACTACGCCACTGATAATGTAGTTACTACACCACTGATAATGTAGTTACTACACCACTGATAATGTAGTTACTACACCACTGATAATGTAGTTGCTACACCACTGATAATGTAGATTACTACGCCACTGATAATGTAGTTACTACGCCACTGGTAATGTAATTACTACATCACTGATAATGTAGTTACTACGCCACTGATAATGTAGTTACTACGCCACTGATAATGTAGTTACTACGTCACTGATAATGTAGTTACTACGCCACTTATAATGTAATTACTACATCACTGATAATGTAGTTACTACGCCACTGATAATGTAGTTACTACGCCACTGATAATGTAGTTACTACGTCACTGATAATGTAGTCACTACACCACTGATTATGTAGTCACTACATCACTGATAATGTAGTTACTACGCCACTGATAATGTAGTTACTACGCCACTGATAATGTAGTCACTACACCATTGATAATGTAGTTACTACGCCACTGATAATGTAGTTACTACGCCACTGATAATGTAGTTACTACGCCAATGGTAATGTGGTTACTACACCACAGAAAATGTAGTTACTACACCACTGATAATGTAGTTACTACGCCACTGATAATGTAGTTACTACGCCACTGATAATATAGTTACTACGCCACTGATAATGTGGTTACTACACCACTGATAATGTAGTTACTACACCACTGATAATGTAGTTACTATGCCACTGATAATGTAGTTACTACGCCACTGATAATGTAGTTACTACACCACTGATAATGTAGTCACTACACCACTGATATTGTAGTTACTACACCACTGATAATGTAGTTACTACACCACTGATAATGTCGTTTACTACGCCACTGATAATGTAGTTACTACGCCACTTATAATGTAATTACTACATCACTGATAATGTAGTTACTACGCCACTGATAATGTAGTTACTACGCCACTGATAATGTAGTTACTACGTCACTGATAATGTAGTCACTACACCACTGATTATGTAGTCACTACATCACTGATAATGTAGTTACTACGCCACTGATAATGTAGTTACTACACCACTGATAATGTAGTCACTACACCACTGATAATGTAGTTACTACACCACTGATAATGTAGTTACTACACCACTGATAATGTAGTTTACTACGCCACTGATAATGTAGTTACTACACCACTGATAATGTAGTTACTACGCCACTGATAATGTAGTTACTACGCCACTGATAATGTAGTCACTACGCCACTGATAATGTAGTCACTACATCACTGATAATGTAGTTACTACGCCACTGATAATGTAGTTACTACACCACTGATAATGTAGTTACTACACCACTGATAATGTAGTTACTACACCACTGATAATGTAGTTACTACGCCACTGATAATGTAGTTACTACACCACTGATAATGTAGTTGCTACACCACTGATAATGTAGTCACTACACCACTGAAAATGTAGTTACTACACCACTGATAATGTAGTTACTACACCACTGATAATGTAGTTACTACACCACTGATAATGTAGTTACTACACCACTGATAATGTAGTTACTACACCACTGATAATGTAGTTACTACACCACTGATAATGTAGTTACTACACCACTGATAATGTAGTTACTACGCCACTGGATGGCATCCATGATGATAATGATGACAACACAGGAAGATTTATTCACAATTCTGGCAAGTCAACCTGATAATGATGCTGGCTGTTGTTGAAATCACCGGCGAAACGTCACCAGCTACTCGAATTATAGATATTGTAGTGAGTTTACTCTCCAACACAACATCCAGTTAGTGTCCTGAACTGTTAACTAATTGGCCACCTATTCATATTCTTAGCTCTTTCGGTAAAGTCACGTTGAAGGGAAACAATAAAATAATAAAAAATATATAAAACAATAAAAATTCTCACGACGTTTCGACCATAACACAAACCTGACGACGACCGTTTGTGTTATGGTCGAAACGTCGTGATAATTTGTATTGTTTTATATATATTATTATTTTATTGTTTCCCTTCAACGTGACTTTACCGAAAGAGCTAAGAATATGAATTACTGCAGTCACGAAAGCTTTAAATCAAAATTTAATTGGCCACCTTTTGTTTACGTGACTAAACCTTTACTAATTGGCTGTGTCGGGTGATGGTGGCGATGGGTTTAATGACATTTATAATTTACGTGATGTAACCCAACAAAAAACATACACCTTCATTATGCACTTTACCCAGTAAAATAAAATAGTTTCGTTGAAACTTCCACACCACTGACAATTCACCGTGATCCTTTGCGCGTGTCGTCCTATCTCTGTTTAGCTCATAAGAAATGTTTATTTTTGTGTGTACTCGAATTGGCAATGTCGCTGTGGGTTTACGCTCTCCAATGCACAATAACCACTTAGTGCCGAACTCGTAACAAATTGGCAATGTTTTGTTTACGTGACTAAACTTTGACTCATTGGCCATGTCGGTTGGTAGTGGTGGTGGCGGATTTAACGATACATTTATATTTTATGTGATCTAACCCAAAAAAAGAACTCCAAAAAAACCCTTTATTATAGATAATATTTCTATTTTAGCAGGTGTAAGGCCCACTGAGCTATACAGCTCGTTTTCAGAAGCGACATGGCCATCACAAATGATAGCTCAACGAAGTGGCTTTTCATCATCATCATCATTACATAAAAATATAGAGTAGCCAAATACTCTAAACGTGTAGAGACATTGACTATAAATTTGGAGGGGAAAAAACCGAAGGACCCGGAGAAAAATCGACGCGACCACCGGGGAAAGAGAGATGCAAACTCCAAATATACAGCAGGCGTCAGGGTCGGGATCGAACCCACGACCTCCTGTATACCAGGTGAGGTAGTTAACATCTCCTAGCCACCACGGGGTATCATCATCAGCAGCAGTGTGGGGATTGCGGTGTAGGGTTGCCCTCGTAAGCTATGTTATGGGATTGTTGGATAACAAGCTGATGTATATTTATTTTCAGATTAAGTGCCCTCCTAATTATTTGAGCCGTCCGACCAGCCAACACCTCGAAGGCGAATGTTGAAATATGAGTGGCTTATATGTTAGTGGTCGCGGAAGTCCGCGCGCGTGTTAAACACTCTCCTACAGCCTAGCTTTGAACTCATGAAAAAAAACAAAATCCCTCACAGCCTCAATGGGCGCGGCGTCACACTCTCCTACAGCTCAGAGGGTCCGGTACAGCCAGACCCTGCGTGGCAGGCGAGCGCAGCGGGCGTCCGTGAACGACCGGCGAGCGAGCGATCGCCGGCGACTGCCACGCGCCGACGGCGGCGACGGCCTGGCCACGTGAACCACGCCGCGGCCCAGCGCCACGAGTGGAGCGGGCCGGTGCCTGCGCCCCTCCGTACGCGCCACCCTCACCATTACCCGGAGGCCGCCAGAGCCGTCCGAGTCGGAGGAGGCGAGGGAGCTCGGGGGCCGTCGAGGGGTTCCCCGCGGATCGAACGGAGGGGTGCCCCCCGGGCGCGAGCTAGGGGCCTCTCCCGTCGGTGGGGTGCCTGCGACCTCCTCCGGGAGACCTTCGTCACCTTCCCACGAGACATCGTGGATTTTTTTCGGAGTGGAGTGCATGACGTAACGGGTGACCCTTCTGATGGCCCCGGGACGGGACGCAGGGGCGGGAGCCCGCACCTCCGGGCTGGAGAACTGAAAGGGCAGCGTCAGACACCTTGTGTCCGATTGGAAAGGCTCGGACTTCGACGGCCTTCCCTTGGTCCTGGGCCAGGACTCGTGCTTGGAGAGGCGACTGCTCCGTTGGGAATGGTGCACGAGCGGCGGAGAGAACCGCTCGTCCCGCGGGATGCCCTGACCCTTGGGCACGCGGTGCTCAATGTAGCGGACGACCCTTTTGATGGCCCCAGGCCGCGATCGCGGGATGGCATTTGGGGCTTCCGGTACAGAAAAGTTAACGGGACTGGTGGATCGTCTGACACCCAATGGGGACTGAATAGACGAGGCCGAAGCCTTCACAGCCGCCGCTGTGAAGGCGACTTCCTGTGGGGCGGACTTCCTGCCGCGCCTCACGAGCTTCCGGATCACCCCCGGCCGCGTCTGCTGCCTCGGATTCCACGAATCCCAGTGGAAGTCTCTCTGCTCCGGCCGCCTGCCGTCGCCTGAGTGTCGCACCTCCTCTGACCCAAAGAACCGCGCCCCCAATCCGGAGCGTCGCGTCTCCTCCGACCTGAAGAACCGCGCCTCCGATCCGGAGCACCGCGCCTCCTCCGATCTGGAGCGTCGCGTCTCCTCCGACCTGAAGAACCGCGCCTCCGATCCAGAGCCTCGCGCCTCCTCCGATCCGAAGAACCGGGCCTCCGATCCGCAGCGTCGCGCCTGCAATACGGACCGTGATGCGTCCGCCCCACGGTTTCCGGGGGGCTCTTGTTCATGAGCGATTTGGCTCCAGTGGAATACGAGGGATGTCCCCAACTTGGAGCCGATGCTAAACGTGGTGCCCCTGATGCGGGAATTTCCGGCTCTCTCCTCGATGTCCGCCGGGCGACGTCGGGCGGCGATCGCCACCGCCACGGGCTCGAGGTCAGCGGCGGGGTCAACGTTTGAGTCAGGGTGGAGGCGACAGTCGATGCTTCCTCCGGCTTCGAGCCGGGGTGATTTATCCACGTCGAGGTCGAGTGACAGCTCGAGGTGCAGGTCAGGGTCTGGTTCCTTGGCATCAGCCTCGTTGTCGCATTCAAAATCAGGCGCGAGGTCCAGTCCGAGGTGAGCGTCTGGATCAGAATGGAGTTGGACCTCGACGTTTTGGTCGTGCACAGACTTGAGGCTCGTGCTTGGACCATGGTCGGACTTTACGTCGGTTTTCAGATCACGATTAAGTTGGAGGTCGGACGTTGGATTGGGGTCAAAGTGGACACCGGTACTTGGATCGCATCTGAACGGGAGGTGAGCAGTTGGATCGGCGCTGACAATCACCTTCACGCTTTGGATGGGGTGAAATTTGAGGTGAGTCCTTCGGTGGGAAATTAATTGGAGGTCGGCATTTTGATCAGGGGCGAGTTTGAGGTCGGTGTGTGGGTCGGGGGTGAGTTGAATATCAGTGGTTAGATCGGGAGTCAGTTTGAGGTCAGTGCTTGGATCGGGAGAGAGTTGAATTTCAGCGGTTAGATCGGGAGTGATTTTGGACTCAGTGTTTGGATCAAGAGAGAGTTCAATATCAGTGGTTAATTCAGGGGTGAGTTTGACGTCAGCGTTTGTATTAGGAGTCAATTGGATATCAGTGCTTGGATCGGGAGTGAGTTGGAGGTCAGATTCGGCTATGAGTGGAAGGTTGACGTGCAGCTGATGGTGGTGGTGATGAGCCGTGTGGCTGGTTTGAGCATCACCGCGATCCCCATTGTCTGGGAGGTCGAAGTTGGGGTCATCCGTAGCATCCACCTCCCCAAACACCTCGTGGCAGTGGTCGATCAGAAACTGCACGAAGGCGACGATCTGGAGGTGGCACAGAGCGACAGTGACAGCAGCGGACGTCACTCGGCGAGGCTGGTTGGCAATGTCCGGTGCGAAAGAACGTGTGTATATATACACAGAAACCCACAGACACACAGACCCATAGAGACCCACAGATTAGCGCAGTTGTGGCTACGTATGGTGCGAAAGAAGTTCAACATACATGTGTAGTAGCATAGCGCTGGCTGCTGGCGGAAATGGGGATCCGCGGCGTACGGCAGTCCTGACGTCAACAGGCCAGGATATAAACGAGAGGGGGATCTAGGGGAAAGGTCACAGAAGGGGCCCACCAGGAACCCGCTAGCAGGTTCCAGAAAGGGGGCGTGGCCGGGGTGGAGCGAGGCCACGCTGACTCTATAAGAGGGGCCCCTGTGGGGGACCCTGGGGCTGTTGTTGGAGTGGGATCCCCGTCGTGCTGTTGAAGTTCATCGTCGCCATTCTTCTCGTCATCTTCACCATTATTCTCATCGTCCTCTCTGTCTCTACCATCTCGGGGCGCCGCTAGTCAGACAGCCTACCAACTGTCCTGGCTGAGTTCCGTCGCCGATAACAGACGGACTAAATATTGAGTGTGTTAATCCCGATGGTGCTCGTTAATAAAGAAGTGCCTCCAAGTCTTATCGTCTCCGAGTTAGTCACTACACATACATAAATGAATACCCACAGACACCAAGACCCATAGAAGCTCACAGATTAGCACGGTTGTGGCTACGTACAATGCGAAATAAGTTTAACATACATACGTAGAGACCCACAGACACCCAGACCCATAGAGACCCACAGATTTTGCCACTGGTGGTGAGGCAAGGCCATAAAGATGGCTGCTGTCTCTGGTGTAGTAGGCCAACCAGTTTCAAACACAATGCCATACATTATTATTAGCAGAGCATGTTTGTTTGCATGTTTTGCCGCACGTACTGTGTGGTTAATGCAGACTTGATGATGCTTTATTTGGTGTTTGAACATCTTAACACAACTCCCGTGTTATTGCTAGAAAGGGTTAAAAACCTATTCTTCTTAGTATATATTATTGTCATTATTTAATTATTATTTTTATTAAAGCGACCTTGTCGATGACGTCGCCCTCCTGCCTTCGGTCGATCTCTCCGGGGGCCCAGAGCATGCTGGGAGCCGTGCACACCGATAGGCTGAACGAGGTCATGTGACTCCAGTGCGCGTTGTCGGCGACGCGGCGCAGCAGGCGGAACACCGAGCCAATCAGAGCGCGACGCTCGAGCGACACGCTGCACAGCATTCTGGGAGGTGGCCACAGGAAACGTGGGGAAAAACTGTGGGATTAATCGTTGTAACCATGTGAAACTAAAAACTCTGAAACTATTTTCTATTGTTGCCAGGTATTTAAGCTGCTATGTACAGTGAGGGAAAAAGTATTTGATCCTCTGCTGATCTTGTACATTTGCCCACTGACAAAGAAATGATCAGTCTATAATTTTAATGGTAGGTTTATTTGAACAGTGAGAGACAGAATAACAACAACAAAAATCCAGAAGAACGCATGTCAAAAATGTTATAGATTTATTTGCATTTTAATGATGGAAATAAGTATTTGACCCCTCTGCAAAACATGACTTAGTACTTGGTGGCAAAACCCTTGTTGGCAATCACAGAGGTCAGACGTTTCTTGTAGTTAGCCACCAGGTTTGCACACATCTCAGGAGGGATTTCCCACTCCTCTTTGCAGATCTTCTCCAAGTCATTAAGGTTTCGAGGCTGACGTTTGGCAACTCGAGCCTTCAGGTCACTCTATAGATTTTCTATGGGATTAAGGTATGTAGACTGGCTAGGCCACTCCAGGACCTTAATGTGCTTCTTCTTGAGCCACTCCTTTGTTGCCGTGGCCGTGTGTTTTGGGTAATTGTCATGCTAGAATACCCATCCACGACCCATTTTCAATGCCCTGGCTGAGGGAAGGAGGTTCTCACCCAAGATTTGACGGTATATGGCCCCGTCCATCGTCCCTTTGATGCGGTGAAGTTGTCCTGTCCTCTTAGCAGAAAAACACCCCCAAAGCATAATGTTTCCACCTCCATGTTTAACGGTGGGGATGGTGTGTTTGGGGTCATAGGCAGCATTCCTTCTCCTCCAAACACGGCGAATTGAGTTGATGCCAAAGAGCTCCAATTTGGTCTCATCTGACCACAACACTTTCACCCAGTTGTCCTCTGAATCATTCAGTTGTTCATTGGCAAACTTCAGACGGGCATGTATATGCGCTTTCTTTAGCAGGGGGACCTTGCGGGCGCTGCAGGATTTCAGTCCTTCACGGCGTAGTGTGTTACCAATTGTTTTCTTGGTGACTATGGTCCCAGCTGCCTTGAGGTCATTGACAATATCCTCCCGTGTAGTTCTGGGCTGATTCCTCACCTTTCTCATGATTGCAACTCCACGAGGTGAGATCTTGCATGGAGCCCCAGGCGAGGGAGATTGACAGTTCCTTTGTGTTTCTTCCATTTGCGAAAAATCGCACCAACTGTTGTCACCTTCTCACCAAGCTGCTTGGCAATGGTCTTGTAGCCCATTCCAGCCTTGTGTAGGTCTACAATCTTGTCCCTGACATCCTTGGAGAGCTCTTTGGTCTTGGCCATGGTGGAGAGTTTGGAATCTCATTGATTGCGTCTGTGGACAGGTGTCTTTTATACAGGTAACAAGCTAAGATTAGGAGCACTCTCTTTAAGAGTATGCTCCTAATCTCAGCTCGTTACCTATATAAAAGACACCTGGGAGCCAGACATCTTTCTGATTGAGAGGGGGTCAAAGACTTATTTCCCTCATTAAAATGCAAATCAATTTATAACATTTTTGACATGCGTTCTTCTGGATTTTTGTTGTTGTTATTCTGTCTCTCACTGTTCAAATAAACCTACCATTAAAATGATAGACTGATAATTTCTTTGTCAGTGGGCAAACGTACAAAATCAGCAGGGGATCAAATACTTTTTTCCCTCACTGTAGCTATTTTTTATAAGCGCCCTGGCCATCACAAATGATAGCTCAACCAAGTGGCTTATCATCATCATGTGGACATTTAACACATTACTGCGGAGGGAGCTGATAGGAACGTTGGGTTGCTCGGTCAATGGCCAGGGTCAACGGCGGCACGTGGTGTATTCCGCAAATATGCCCGACTGTGAGGGCGGGCACAAGCCAGCGTGAGTAGGTTAAACGTTGAGTTTTATAAGGGCACCACGGGGTGACCAGCCCCTCCCCACCCAGCCCCACCCCTCCCCACCCAGCCCCTCCCCACCCTCCCTTCTCCACCCAGTCCCACCCCTCACATTTTTGGATGCACGACGGACGGACGGACACAATAATCCCCTGTGGGCTGGTGTAACCAGGAGGCTCCTACCAGTAGCAGGAGCCAAATACTCTAAACGCGTTATGTTGATTCTAAATGTGGAGAGAAAAACCGGAGGACGCGACCACAGAGAGAATATTCCTCAGTGACAAACCTTACTAATTGACCATGTTGGGTGGTGGCGGGTTTCACGTCACATTTATATTTACGCGATCTAATAAAAAAAAACTCCATTATGAATAACATTGGTCGTGAAAGCCCACGTGCTATATGTAAACTATAAACAAACTGTAAACTATATTTATTTTACAAGGTAGGGCCCAACTGAGCTATGTAGATCTTTTTTTCAGAAGCAACCTGGCCATCACAAATGATGGCAGCTCAACGAAGTGGCTTATCAGCATCATCATCACCACCGTGTGGAAATGTATAGCATCCAAATACGCTAAACGCACACTGATTCTACGTGGCAATTAGTTCTTATTGAAATGTGGCAATTAGTTACTCTCCAACATATCGGTTTTTTGCCCAATCCTCGCCAGCTAGCTCAGCAACTTAATCAATGTGGGGTAGGGGGAGAGATGGAGGCTATGGGGGAGGCTTACGTCTCAATCCTCCGAACGGTGGCTTCTGGTTCCCAGGGGTCGTCCGGACAGCCCACGGCAGCCACCCACTGCTCGTAGCTGTCGCGAGGGAAAAACCCTCCAGGGACGGAGCGAAGGAATTCCTGGAGCAAGCGGTGAACACGCGCACGCACACAGTCACGCAAACTCACAGTCACACACACAGTCACACAGACTCACAGTCACACAGACTCACAGTAACACACACAGTCACACAGACTCACAGTCACACTCACAGTCACACACACAGTCACACAGACTCACAGTCACACAAACAGTCACACAGACTCACAGTCGCACACAGTCACAGAATCACAGCACACAGTCACACAGAATCACTTGCGCACACAGTCACACGCACACAGTTACAGACACATCTCTGTTGCGTGTAGCGTATTCTGCTACTACGATGATATTCCACCTCGTTGGGCGATCATTTGCGGCCAGGTCACTTATCAACAAGATATACGCAGCTCAAGTGGGGGTCTTACCTGGTCAAATAACAACATAGCTACAGAAAAGTTAGTTTTTGAGGAAAAAAAAACAACAATGATGCCTAGATTAGTTTTCATAGTTTCATAGTTTCATTTATTTGGCATAGCCCTGTGAGCCATTCGGCTGTTGAATCGGGTGCAACCGCAACAAACAAAAAAAACAAAAACACGAACAAGAAAACATCTTAAAGTGACTTTGTGTGACTGTGCAAACAGAAAATCCAGGAAAAAAACATCAAAATATTCCCAAAATATTCCTGATATAGCACCGTACACCAAAGATTAGGAATTCAGCATTGCATTCTGGGTAAGTGTTCTGACATTTGAGCCACCTGGCGTAAGTGATCTTGTAAATATGACCAGATTGACTGCGTTATCACCGTGTGCAGTCTTAGACGAAGAGAATCTCGCACGATAGTTGGTCGTGTTAGTCACGAGTGGATGTTCGACCCACCAGATTGACTGCGTTATCACCGTGCGCAGTCTTAGCCGAAGAGAATCTCGCACGATAGTTGGTCGTGTCAGCCACGGGTGGATGTTCGACCCACAATTGCCATTCACGAGAAAAATAAAATCGTCGAGAGGCGAAAACTTCGACGACGTTCAAGGCGGTTTTTTGTTGTTGTTTTATGATTCGATTGTGACGACAGGGTGGTGTCGTCACAGCGCTCCCAGAATGCACCTTGAGGATGGTTGCCAGGGCAACGGGCGAGCCGTGCTCCCATTGGCCGGCTGGGGAGTTGGCGTTGATCTTGTTGCGGATTTCCCGCGAGGTGCGGAAACCCGGGCTTCGCCTGAACACCCCCGGCTCCCAGGGAGCTCGCCTCCAGAGCCGTCCTAGGAGCTCCTGTCCACAAATGAATGCACACGTGCATGCACAGGGCGCTTCACAACAATGTGAACACTCGATTTGAAGCTTTCGTGACTGCAAGGATTCATCTTCTTTGGTTCTTTCGGTAAAGTCATGTAGAATGAGAATAAAATAACAAAATGAAATAAGACAATAAAATTCTCACGACGTTTCGGCCACAACACAAGTAGCCTTCTTCAGGTTCTGTCACAAGCTAATCCCTCGGCTATTTCAATGCTAAATTCTCCTGCTCTGATATGTAAACTCCTTTGTCAAGGCACTTCACGCTTCTCACCGAGCTTAAAATACGCTATGGTTTACTTTATAATAGTTGGTAATTGGAGGCCTTTAGCGTTCATATACTTAATGCCTCTGTGGATATGTAAACTTTGACTTTAACACAGCTATTTCTGTCACAAGCTAATCCCTCAGTTTTTTTCAATGCTAAATTCTCCTGCTGTGATATGTCAACTCCTTTTTTCAAGACTCGCCACGCCTCGCACCGAGCTTAAAAGACGCTGCGAATCTTAGCGGCGTTAATTGAAGTTCTGTCGTCCCGACAGTTCTGTTCTTTCACCTGAAGAAGGCTGCTTGTGTTGTGGCCGAAACGTCGTGAGAATTTTATTGTCTTATTTTATTGTATTATTTTATTCTCATTCTACGTGACTTTACCGAAAGAACCAAAGAAAATGTGAACACTTCCGAGAATTTGCAAAAACAACACCGCAAGAAATGTGCCTCCTCCTCGGGGCTCTGCAGATCACCTGGAGAAGATTCCAGGCACGCGTTGACAACGATGGCGAACACGTGGAGACTTTCGGAAGATATTAACATACATTTGTTAATCATGTTACAGTGTAGTAGTATTATCCGTCCTTTTTCCATTAAAAAGGATAGTCCCAGCTAAGTGTTAACATTTCTTTGAAGCACCCGGTGTATACAGTGTGTCCATGAAGTCCCTATCTATTTGATTGAATTCATGGTATATACGTATATGTGTTCTTCCATAGTACAGGTTTTTGTTTGGGGGTTAGATCGCGCAAACATACGTGTGTCGTTAAGCCCGCCACATTTATACAATCAAACCTCAAAAAACCTTTACGGATAATATTGGTTGCTAAGGCCTCTCTGGCTTATATTGACATGGCGCCTTTATCCAAGGCGCTTTCACAAGGCTTATGAGTGGTACAATGAGGGCAGCCAAAGGTGATGCGGTGAATACGGATGGGGGGGGGGGGGGGGGGATATAGGGAGGGAGGTTTAGTGGGAGCAGGAATTGCGGTGGGTACCTAGGGGTGGAGGGGAAGGATTGAGCCAGGGAGAAGTGGAAACTTAACAGGGAGAGAGGGTCGCCTCTTGCTTCACGTGGAGGCGAAGTTTGTTGCAGGTGTAGGGAAACGGAGTGGAAGCGGTGGATTGCGCACAAGGAGAGTGGACGGGGTGGGAATGGGAGGAGTCAAAGAGGTCGAGAGCGGAGCGGGCGGAAGGTGACATAGTGTGAGAGAAGCCAGGTGCGGTGGGGCAAGGCCATGAAGAGATTTATGTTTGTTGCTTTCTGCGTTTGTCTCAGGTTGGACATTTGCTGGTCTCATACTCGACTCACAATAAGGTCAAAGGGTGCGGGTGTGTGTGCGTTGAACTTCTTTCACACCGTACGTAGCCAACCCGCGCTAATCTGTGGGTATTTGTGGGTGTCTCTATGGGTCTGGGTGTCTGTGGGTCTCTGTGTATGTGTACGGTGACATTTCTTTGCACCGTACATAGCCAACAGTGCTAATCTGCGGGTCTCCGTGGGTGTCTTTCTGGGTCTCTACAATTGGAGGTGCGGTGGGGTGGGGGGGATAACAAACTTAACACAACAACAAAAAGCAGTTCTAAAGATATGAATTTGTCACTCGAGATGATTATTTAAACGTGCAGAGCGTCCAGTGGCTTCCTAATATCGGAAGGAAGAGCGTTCCAGACGGCCGCAGAAGGGCTTCTGAAAGTTCCGCGCGATGCAGTGACCACCGTCTTTGTTCGATGGTCAGCCAAAAGTGTATAGTGTAGTGTATAGTAGTGTATGGTGTAATGTATAGTGTAGTGTATAGCAGTGTATATTGAGTGTAAGGTATAGTAGTATATCGCGTATAGTGTAGTGTATATTATATAGTGTAGTGTATATAGGATCTGAAAGCATCCTACGATGCGGTGACCATCTTAGTTCGACAGCTAGCCAAAAGTGTAGTGTATAGTGTAGTGTGTAGTATATAGTGCAGTGTATAGTGTAATTCATAGTAGTGTATAGTGTAGTGTATATAGCTTTGCTCTCCAACACACAAGCGGCTAGTGCTGTACTAGTAACGTACTGATTGTAATTGTACTCAGTACTCAGATTGTAAATGTTTGTGTATTTGCTCTCCAACACAGAACCGGTTAGTGCTGTAATGAATTGGCCACGTTCTGTTTACGTGACAAACCTTCATATTTGGCTGTGTCGGGTGGTGGCGGGTTTAACGACACATTTGTACTACACACACACATCTCGTATTTCGCAATGCCCCCCCCGCCCCCGTACCCTGATTGCCCGGGGCGCGAGCCCTTCCTCCCAGAGGTCCTCCATGGGGCATCCGAAGAGGTGGCGCTGGTGGGGCTCCGGGGGTTCGGCTTCGGGCTGCCCGAGCTGGGCCCTCTCGGAGGGCCATGTGTCCTCCCGGTGCCTCCTCCTGAAGAATGTTCGCCGCGGAGACTTCTGGGAGGGAGACACGGCCGGCGGGGTCCATTCTGCTGGCACGCACAAAAAAAAAAGAGCGGTGGGTCGACGCTCTCGATGGAAATTGATCCACGCGGCGATGACGGTGGCGATGATGAGGCACTTCGGTGAGCTGCTATCATGGGTGACGGCAGGCGTCGGGGGGTCGTGATCGAACCCACGACCTCCTGCATAACAGGCGAGGTAGTTAACATCTCCTAGCCACCGTGGTGATGATGAGAGAGAGAGAGACGCAGACTCCAAATATACAGTTGCATGCATCGTCAGGGGCGGGTTCGAACCCACGACCTCCTGCATACTCGGAGAAGTAGTTAACATCTCTTAGCCACCGTGGCACCCCATGACAGGGAATTAATTCATGACAGGGGTCATAATTTGTTTTATTTTAATGTCGCATTTACCCCGGGAGGGGGGGGGGGAGAAAAAAAACTTCACTGAATCTCAAGCTTATGGGTGCAAGCGGTGGCTAGGAGATGTTAACTACCTCGCCTGGTATACAGGAGGTCGTGGGTGCGAACCCGAACCTGACGCCTTCTGTTTGGAGTTTGCATGTCTTTTTTACAGGAGATTCTACAACTTTTAAAAACATTCCCGGTGTTTAGTGTACATGCCCTACAACGTGTTTGGAATGGACGGGAGTAAAGTTAGACTTGTGAACAAATCGACTTACGAAAAGAACATCTGGAACCTAACTCCTTCGTAAGTAGAGGAGGTCCCTGTACTATTAATGCACGTCAATTTGATAGAAATTAGCGTTACCTGTCTGCATGTCTGAAGCTGCCCCCTTGCAGTGCGCTCCCCAATCGGAAGAGCCCTTCCCTGCAACGTCACAAAAGTCAACACAATCGTCACGTTGCCGAACGAATACATTATTTTTCCAGTTTCAGTTTATTTATTTGGTAGAGCCCTGTGAGCCATTCGGCTCTCGAATCGGGTGCAACCACAACAAAAAAAAACAAAAACACGAACAGGAAAAACTCGTTACACCACACACACACGCACGCAAAATGCTTTGACACCAATGAACCACCACGACACCTCGCTGCCGATCTCGTCAAGGGAGCTATAAACCATGGGGCCGTCCATAAATGACGTCACGCACCTAGGGAGGAGGGGGGGTCAGATTATTGTGATGATGTGTGACGAGGGGGGGGGGGGGGTTTGGGAAATGGGACGTCAAATAAAAATGCGCAACTTTAAATAAAATAGAATTGTTATAACAACACTAATTGTTATATCAACACTCCGACAACATGAGTGCAGCGCCACATTAAATACGCACTACAATGACAATAGTTTAAAGCGATTTGAAGCATGCTTTATTTTAGGGGGGGGGCGGAGCTTTGTGACGTCATATTTGAGGGGGAGGGGCCTGACTTTTTGTGACGCCGTGTGACGAGTGGGGGGGGGGGGTCAAAAATCGTCCAAAATCGCGTGACGTCATTTATGGACGGCCCCCATCATCACATCAACTCCGCTCATCCTTGCAGCAGCAGAAGCCACAGCGGATTTTGTGCTGGACATCGGACAAAGACGGCAACTGGACATACGGGACAGGGTTCGTTCGTATCTCTGAAAGTTCCTAAGTCGATTGTTCGTAAGCAGAGGAGAAGTTTACATTATGAGACCTCCTTTGCCAGGAACAAGATATAGTAATAGGTTTTACCCTTTTAACTGGCACAAAAAACTGACACCTTTATTCAAGGCATCATGTCTGCAATAACCACAACACAAGCTGTCAAAATGCAAACAAAACGACAACTCTGATAATCATATGCACTGTCCTTGAATTTGATTGGTCCACACCCGAGACGGCTTTCTTTAGAGCCTAGTCTCCACTGGTGTTGGACCTTTTGGCGTCTTCTTTTGGCGTCTTCTGGTCCAACACCAGTGGAGACTAGGCTCTAAAGAAAGCCGTCTCGGGTGTGGACCAATCAAATTTAAGGACAGTGCATATTATTATCAGAGTTGTCTCTTTTGTTTGCATTTTGACTGCTTGTGTTGTGGTTATTGCAGATATGATGCCTTGAATAAAGGTGTCAGTTTTTTTGTGCCAGTTAAAAGAGTAAAACCTATTACTATAGAGGAGATGTCCCTGGACGCGACCGAAATTGCGCCACCAATTTCGAAACGACAATTCCCATTGTTGTCGTGCATCAAGCCACACCACGCTGCGACTAGGGGGCAGCATTGAGCCGGTGGGCGAAGCCTGGGGACACTTTTAATGCCCCCTCACATCAGACACACGGCCCTGGGTCAATACACTGCCCTCTGCCGACAACGTGACTCAACAACAGAGGCATACATACACGTATATAGCCCGTGTATGTATCGTATGTGTGTATGTGTGTTGAACTTAATTTCGCACCGTACGTAGCCAACCGCGCTAATCTGTGGGTCTCTGTGGGTCTCTATGGGGTGTTTCTGTGGACCTATGTGTATTTGTAAACGTTTAACTCCTTTTGAACCGTACGTAGCCAACCGTGCTAATCTGTGGGTCTCTATGGGTGTCTCAGTGAGTCTCTATGGGTCACTATGGGTCTGGGTGCCTGTGGATCTCTGTGTATGTATGTTGAACTTCTTTCGCACCGTACGTAGCTAACCACGCTAATCTATGGGTCTCTGTGGGTTTCCATGCGTCTGGGTATGTGTGTCTATCTGTATGTTGAACTTCTTTAGCACCGTACGTAGCCATCCGTGCTAATCTGTGGGTCTCTGTGGGTCTCTATGGGGTGTCTCTGTGGGTGTCTATGGGTCTTGGGTGTCTGTGGATCTCTGTGTGTGTATGTTGTAGGGAGCGGTAGTGTAGTGGTTAGCGCTACACTGTGCTACGAACCCAGCAACCCGAGTTCGAATCCCGCTCACGGCCAACACCAGTGACGATTATCTGAACCGGTCCTGGGCCTCCCCTAGGTCCCTGGTGCGGTGTGTAAACATCGCCACTGGAGAGACAAAGGCGGTCGGGCGTGGTGCTGGCCACCCACCCCCTCGTGAGCCGTGCCGACCTTCATAGGTGTTCGTTAACAGCACTTGCCCCAACAGTCTGTTAAGGCTATATGGGGGATCTTTGTCTTTGTGTGTTGAACTTCTTTCCCACCGTAAGTAGCCAACCGCGCTAATCTGTGGGTCTTTGTTGGTCTCTATGGGTCTGAGTATCTGTTGATCTCTGTGGGTGTCTCCATGGGTGTGGGTCTCTGTGGGTCTGGGTGTCTGTGGGTCTCTGTGGGTGTCTCTGTGGGGATGTCTGTGGGTCTCTGTGGCTGTCTCTGTGGGTCTGGGTGTCTGTGGATCTGTGTGTGTGTACGTTGAACTTCTTTCGCACCGTACGTAGCCAATCGTGCTAATCTGTGGGTTTCTTTGGGTCTCTATGGGTGTCTCTAGGGGTCTGGGTGTGTGTGGGTCTCTATGGGTGTCTCTGTGGGTGTCTCTGTGGGTCTGGGTGCCTCTATCGGTCTGTGTGTCTGTTGGTCTCTGTGGGTGTCTCTGTGGGTCTGGGTGTCTGCGGGTCTCTGTGGGTGTCTCTGTGGGTGTTTCTGGGTGTCTCTATGGTCTGGGTGTTTGTGAGTATCTCTGTGGGTGTCTCTGTGAGTGGCTCTGTTGGTGTCTCTGTGAGTGTTTCTGTGGGTGTCTCTGTGAGTGGCTCTGTTGGTGTCTCTGTGGGTGTCTCTGTGAGTGTCTCTGTGGGTGTCTCTGTGAGTGGCTCTGTTGGTGTCTCTGTCGGTGTCTCTGTGAGTGTCTCTGTGGGTGTCTCTGTGAGTGTCTCTGTGGGTGTCTCTGTGAGTGTCTCTGTGGGTGTCTCTGTGGGTGTCTCTGTGGGTGTCTCTGTGAGTGTCTCTATGAGTGTCTCTGTGGGTGTCTCTGTGAGTTTCTCTGTGAGTGTCTCTGTGGGTGTCTCTGTGGGTGTCTCTGTGAGTGTCTCTGTGGGTGTCTCTGTGGGTGTTTCTGTAGGTGTCTCTGTGGGTGTCTCTGTGGGGATGTCTGTGGGTCTCTGTGGGTGTCTCTGTGGGTCTGGGTGTCTGTGGATCTGTGTGTGTGTACGTTGACGGGTGCGAGGGGCTGGTAACCCCTCCACCTTCAGTTAATTACCACTAAACCACGAGTTAAACTGAAATATGTAACTAATAAGCTTGTGCCGGAGGCCCGGGGGGCCAGGCGTCTATGACGTCTCCTGGCCAAACCCCAATTGGTGGAGCCAGGAGATTGAATATCTACCCTCGGGGCTCCTCCAGAAACAACGAAAAGCCACTCCGGGTGGCCACGTGGAATGTTCGAACGCTCACTGCGGAGGAGAGGCTGCCACTCCTCTGTCGGGAGCTGGACCGGTACCGCCTGGATCTGTGTGGCATTCAGGAGGTCCGGTGGACCGGCTCTGGCTCCTGCCACCATGAGGGGTGGACAGTCCTCTACTCGGGGCAGCAGACTGCCAAACAACAGGGTGTGGCTCTTCTTTTGAACAAAAGAATGAAGGGGGCGTTGGAGCGTGGCGGTGAGGTGTGGGAAGCTGTAAGTCCCAGGCTACTTTAGGCTCGCCTTCCCATCAACCGGAGGCGAGGAATGGTGGTCGTGGTTACTTATGCCCCCACCGAAGATGAACATCCGTGGAGGGATGCAGGCAAAGCCGATGAGTCAGATGCCTTCTATGACCTCCTGTCACAGGTGCTGGCTAAAGTGGCCCCTCGGGATAGAGTCATCATGTTGGGTGACTTCAATGCCCGAGTTGGTCATGATACTGGCACCTGGTCTGGAGTGATTGGAGGGCATGGGCCAGATCAGCTCAATAACAACGGTAGGAGGCTGCTAGATTTTTGTGCAGCCCATGGGCTTGTAATTACCAACACGCATTTCCGGCATCGGCACATCCACACAACATCATGGATGCATGCCAGGTCCAAGCAAGAACATCTGCTGGACTACATAGTGACAGACCAGCGGATGCGAGCCCATGTCCTTGACACCAGGACCTACCGTGGAGCTGATCTGCCCTCTGACCATCGACTAGTCATCTGTAAGATGCGCCTGCCATTCTTCCACTCCGGTGGTGGGTGTACACCCAGGACCCCATTCCAACCTAAAGTGGCCTGGTCTCAGTTATCTGATGAAAGTTGCAAGCGAGAATTTCATCATCGGTTGCGGCTGGGTTTGGCATCGTGCCCGACTCCTACTGATGTCGAGGGTAAATGGGCGAGGTTTAGGACTGTGACTCATGCAGCTGAAATGGCTGCTTTGGGTACGCGGTCCAGACCTCCCCTGAGACCCTGGCTGACAGAGGAGGTGTTCAGGATGGTTGAGAAAAAGCGACAGGCCCACTGTCATCGGCTACAGAATCCCACGTCAGAGAATGAGGAGGCTTACCGCAGCCTTCGCTCGGAGGTTCGGAGAGCCGTGAGGCGCTGCAAGGATGGGTAGTGGTCGCGGGTTGCTGAGGAGATGGAGTCTGCCTCAGTGGCCCGTGATCACAAATCTCTATTTAACTCCATCAAAAAAGTAATCTGCAGCGCCACACCTATTACCATCATTAGGGGAAAAAACGGTGATCCAATCTCCGAGCATTTCTGTGAGGTCCTGGGGGAGGGAAAAATCCCTCAGCCAGGAAAACATCGTGGCACAAAGTGAGGATGACCCTGCTGAGGCTGCGGTGCCTCAAATATTGGAAGAAGTCACCCCCTGTGAGTGGCTGGCTGAGGTGCCATCTGTTGAGGAAGTACTGAGGGCGATCCGGAGTCTGAGACCAGGAAAGGCAGCGGGCAGAGATGATCTCCCAAGCGAAATGCTGAGGGAGGGCGGCGTTTGTGCACAGACTGCCCTATATGACATCATAACAACAGTCTGGACCACTGGACGGGTTCCGCAGGATTGGAAGGATGCCCTGGTGGTCCCCCTTTTTAAGATGGGGGACCGCACAGACTGTAACAACTACAGGGGCATCTCACTCCTCAGTGTGCCGGGAAAGGTCCTGGCAAGGATTATTCAACATCGCCTTGCCAGGCACGCTGAGGAGAGGCTTGCGGAGCCCCAATGCGGTTTCAGGAAAGGGCGGTCCTGCACGGATGCCATATTTTCTGTCCGTCTGCTACAGCAGAGGTGTAGGGAATTCCAACAAGACCTACATCTCTGCTTTATTGACCTGGTCAAGGCCTATGATACCATCAGTAGGCCTGGGCTATGGGTTGTTCTTCGTGCTTTTGGAGTAACGGACCCTCTGCTCACGATCATTAAGGACCTTCATAATAGTGAGCGGGCCCGGGTAAAACTACGCGGCCGGGAGTCAGAGCCATTCCCTGTTAACCTTTGGGTGCGACAGGGATGTCCTCTGGCTCCCACATTATTTAACATCTATTTTGACCACGTAGTTCGTGAAGTCTTCAATAGCTGTACCGGGGGAATCTCCATATGGTACAGATATAATGGGAGGCTGATCGACGCCCGGGTGCGGTCAAGGGATGGCTCCCTATTGCTCAACCACGTTATGTATGCTGATGATTTGGTAATAGCTGCACATTCGGAGGAGGAGTTGGAGACGCTGCTGCTGAGACTGGAGCATGCCACTAAGAGGTGGGGCCTTACCATCAGCCCCACCAAAACTAAGCACCTGCCTGGGTATTTTGTACCATCGGACACTCCACCCCCACAACTCCCAATCGGTGATGGGGCAGTTGTGGAGAGAGTGGAGAGTTTCCCATACCTGGGCAGTGTGCTTATGACTGGCTCCAGTTTAACAGCAGAGGTCTCACTCCGAATCAGTCGAGCGGCAATATCTTTTCATCGGTTGCGTAACGCTGTGTGGAAGCTACCTGGTCTGTCGCTCCGCACTAAGCTTCAGGTCTTCTCGGCCACGGTCATTCCCTCCCTTCTCTACGCTTGCGAAACGTTGACCCCCCTAATGGAACATCTTCGCCGGTTAGAAACATTTAGGCTGGCCTGCCTACGATCCATCCTGGGTTTAACCAGATTGGATTGTGTGAGGAGCTCAAAAATCCTTGAAAGATCTGGGCAACGTCCCATCGGTGAGCTCCTACGGCGGGGAAGGCTGCGATGGTTGGGTCATGTAGCCCGCATGCCCAGCCACCGCATGCCGAAACAGCTAAGCGGGCGCGGCACGGGCTAGAGAAGAGATGGAGTGATGTGGTACAGGAGGACGTGGAGCTGAGTGGACTTGCCCATGACTGGTACCAGCGGTGTCAAGATTGGCCTCTGTGGAGGAGGCTCGTGAAGGACGCTGCTACTGGGCAGTTGGAGGCAGTCGCCCTCCAACAACAACGGAGGGCGGAGGAGCGACACTCACAACAACGAGCGGAGCGCCGGGTGGCTAAAGCACAGCAGGTTGGCACAGTAGGGGGCACAGGTGGTGCATCAGCCAGTCATCTCAGTCAGTCGACCCGTGGCACCTGGGTCTGCCCCGTGACCTCCTGCCAGCGGGCGTTCGACACTTCACGTGGCCTCAGGGTGCACATAGCCTGGCACAAGCGTCGTGGTGACGTCACCGCCACTTAGTGGCGAATGGCGGTTGTTGTTGTTTTGTCTGTGTGTGTGTGCTGTGTGTGTGTGTCTGTGTGTGTGTCTCTGTGTGTGTGTGTCTCTGTGTGTGTGTGTCTCTGTGTGTGTGTCTCTCTGTGTGTGTGTGTCTGTGTGTGGCTCTGTGTGTGTGTCTCTCTGTGTGTGTGTCTCTGTGTGTGTGTGTGTCTCTGTGTGTGTTTGTGTGTGTGTCTGTGTGTGTGTCTGTGTGTCTCTGTGTGTGTGTCTGTGTGTGTGTGTCCTTGTGTGTGTCTCTCTGTGTGTGTGTGTCTCTGTGTGTGTCTCTGTGTGTGTCTGTGTGTGTCTCTGTGTGTGTGCCTCTCTGTGTGTGTGTCTCTTTGTGTGTCTCTGTGTGTGTGTGTCTGTGTGTGTGTGTGTGTCTCTGTGTGTGTCTCTCTGTGTCTCTGTGTGTGTGTGTCTCTGTGTGTCTCTGTGTGTGTGTCTCTGTGTGTATGTGTCTGTGTGTGTGTCTCTGTGTGTGTGTCTCTGTGTGTGTGTCTGTGTGTGTGTGTCTCTGTGTGTGTGTGTGTCTCTGTGTGTGTGTCTCTCTGTGTGTGTGTCTGTGTGTGTCTCTGTATGTGTCTCTCTGTGTGTGTGTCTCTGTGTGTGTGTGCTGTGTGTGTGTCTGTGTGTGTCTCTGTGTGTGTGTCTCTCTGTGTGTGTGTCTGTGTGTGTCTCTGTGTGTGTGTCTCTGTGTGTGTGTCTCTGTGTGTGTCTCTCTGTGTGTGTCTCTCTGTGTGTGTGTCTCTGTGTGTGTGTCTCTGTGTGTGTGTGTCTCTGTGTGTGTGTCTCTGTGTGTGTGTGCTGAGTGTGTGTCTGTGTGTGTGTCTCTGTGTGTGTGTGTCTCTGTGTGTGTGTCTCTGTGTGTGTGTGCTGAGTGTGTGTCTGTGTGTGTGTCTCTGTGTGTGTGTCTTTGTGTGTGTGTGTCTCTGTGTGTGTGTCTGTCTCTGTGTGTCTCTTTGTGTGTGTCTCTCTGTGTGTGTGTGTCTCTGTGTGTGTGTTTTGAGATGAACGTTCGTGCCAGTGCCGCCCTTCAGAAGGAGCTCGCTGACATCACCTTGACCCCCCCAACGCTCCGTCGAAGTCCATACGAGGTGGGGATGGGGGGGTATGGGTTGGGAGGTAATCTCTGTTTTGCTACACAGCCCCAATCGTCAACAACAACAACGACAATGACACGAGAACAATGAAAGAACAACAAACAAAGAGCCGTCCGCCGCGTTGACGATGAACATCGCTGGGTTACTCACGCGGTCCCTCGGTCGTCTCTGTCTCTCTCGATGTGGGCCCCCCCCCCCCAAACCACCGTGGGCTCTGTGCGTATCGCGTGCGGGTGACCCGCTGGTTGTGTGGTTCGCTCCCTCGGTGTCAAAACAACAAGGGTGGGTGGGAGGGCAGTCAACATTTCAACATCGCTGTTGGGCAACTTGCAGGAGTGAGAGGACGAAAGGCGGAATCGAAATCGATGATCGTGCATGATTTTTTTTTGGGGGGGGGGGGGGTAGGAATACGAAACTAAAACAACAAATTCGATTGATTGATTGATTTATATTTCACCAGGTGTGTAAGGCAGCCCCCCACCTCCCCCCCCCCCCCGCCGCCTCGCCCCCCACCCCCAAATTGAACTCGCGAAGTGGTCCAGCTCGTTGGTCAGAAGCCACCCTGGGCCATCACAAATAACGGCAGCTCCACGGAGTGAGCGATATCATCGCGCGTGATGTGTGGCAATGTGTGGAGCGGAGGGCGGATTCTCCAGAAGGACGAATTTCTAAATGTGGGAGGGGAAAACAACCGGAGAGATGACCACGGGGTGAGAGAGAGAGAGAGAGCCACACACAAACTCCAAATCTACAGCAGCAGCAGCAGCAGGCGTCGTCAGGGTCAGGATGGAACCCACGACCTCCTGCACACCAGGCGAGGTAGTTAACATCTCATAGCCACCGTGATGATGATGATGATAGAGAGACGCAGACTCCAAATCTACAGCAGCAGGCATCGTCAGGGTCGGGATGGAACCCACGACCTCCTGCACACCAGGCGAGGTAGTCAACATCTCATAGCCACCGTGATGATGATGATGAGAGAGAGAGACGCAGACTCCAAATCTACAGCAACAGCAGGCGTCGTCAGGGTCAGGATGGAACCCACGACCTCATGCACACCAGGCGAGGTAGTTAACATCTCATAGCCACCGTGATGATGATGATGATGAGAGAGAGACGCAGACTCCAAATCTACAGCAGCAGGCATCGTCAGGGTCGGGATGGAACCCACGACCTCCTGCACACCAGGCGAGGTAGTTAACATCTCATAGCCACCGTGATGATGATGATGATGAGAGAGAGACGCAGACTCCAAATCTACAGCAGCAGGCATCGTCAGGGTCGGGATGGAGCCCACGACCTCCTGCACACCAGGCGAGGTAGTCAACATCTCATAGCCACCGTGATGATGATGATGAGAGAGAGAGACGCAGACTCCAAGTATACAGCAGCAGGCATCGTCAGGGTCGGGATGGAACCCACGACCTCCTGTACACCCAGCGAGGTAGTTAACATCTCATAGCCACCGTGATGATGATGATGATGAGAGAGAGACGCAGACTCCAAATCTACAGCAGCAGGCATCGTCAGGGTCGGGATGGAACCCACGACCTCCTGTACACCCAGCGAGGTAGTTAACATCTCATAGCCACCGCAGCTCCCGAGTCTTGAGACTCGGCAAAGTTTATTTTCCTCACCCAGCGGTGAATGAATGCGACATTTAAATAAAAATTATGACAGCTGTCATGAATTCATTCCCTGTCATGGGGTGTCACTGTGGCTATGAGATGTTAGCTACCTCGCCGGGTCTACAGGAGGTCGTGGGTTCCATCCCGACCCTGACGCCTGCTGCTGCTGCTGCTGTAGATTTGGAGTCTGCGTGTCTCTCTCATCATCATCATCACGGTGGCTATGAGATGTTAACTACCTCGCCTGGTATGCAGGAGGTCGTGAGTTCTATCCCGACCCTGACGATGCCTGCTGCTGTAGATTTGGAGTTTGTGTGTCTCTCTCATCATCATCACGGTGGCTAGGAGATGTTAACTACCTCGCCGGGTCTACAGGAGGTCGTGGGTTCCATCCCGACCCTGACGATGCCTGCTGCTGTAGATTTGGAGTCTGCGTCTCTCTCTCATCATCATCATCACTGTGGCTATGAGATGTTAACTACCTCGCTGGGTCTACAGGAGGTCGTGGGTTCCATCCCGACCCTGACGATGCCTGCTGCTGCTGCTGTAGATTTGGAGTCTGCGTGTCGCTCTCATCATCATCATCACGGTGGCTAGGAGATGTTAACTACCTCGCCTGGTGTGCAGGAGGTCATGGGTTCCATCCCGACCCTGACGATGCCTGGTGCTGCTGTTGCTGTAGATTTGGAGTCTGCGTCTCTCTCTCATCATCATCATCACGGTGGCTATGAGATGTTAACTACCTCGCTGGGTCTACAGGAGGTCGTGGGTTCCATCCCGACCCTGACGATGCCTGCTGCTGCTGCTGTAGATTTGGAGTCTGCGTGTCTCTCTCATCATCATCATCACGGTGGCTAGGAGATGTTAACTACCTCGCCTGGTGTGCAGGAGGTCATGGGTTCCATCCCGACCCTGACGATGCCTGCTGCTGCTGTTGCTGTAGATTTGGAGTCTGCGTCTCTCTCTCATCATCATCATCACGGTGGCTATGAGATGTTATCTACCTCGCCCCGCCTACAGGAGGTCGTGGGCTCCATCCCGACCCTGACGATGCCTGCTGCTGCTGTAGATTTGGAGTCTGCGTCTCTCTCTCTCTCTCCGTGGTCGCGTGGATTTCGCTCCGGGTCCTCCGGATTGTCCACCGCTCCACGTTCAGAATCAACGTCTCTACGTGTTCAGAGGTGTTTGGTTGCCGCTCGCAATTTCCACACGATGACGATGGCAATTAATCCACCTCGTAGCGCTATCATTCAGTGATAGCCAGGTCGCTTTTGAAAAAAAGTAAAATAGCTACATAGCTGATCAGTGGGTGCCTTGCCCAGCAACGTTAACAAAGTAAATGTGTTTATAGTTTAATGGTTTTAGGTGTCAGGGACGCCGTGCTTGCAAGGGGATGGTTGATCAATTCGTGGTTTCACAACGCTGAGGTGTCGTTGCCTTTCTGTGGGGTAGGAAAGCAGAGGGCAGCTCACACACGAGGAGACAGCTGACACACACACACACACGTGGAGACAGCTCACACACGAGGAGACAGCTCACACACGGGGAGACAGCTGACACACACACACGTGGAGACAGCACACACACACACACGAGGAGACAGCTGACACACACACACGAGGGAGACAGCTCACACACGAGGAGACAGCTCACACACGAGAAGACAGCTCACACACGAGGAGACAGCTCACACACGAGGAGACAGCTCACACACGTGGAGACAGCTGACACACGAGGGGACAGCTCACACACGGGGAGACAGCTCACACACACACGAGGAGACAGCTCACACACGAGGAGACAGCTGACACACGAGGGGACAGCTCACACACGGGGAGACAGCTCACACACGAGGAGACAGCTCACACACACACGAGGAGACAGCTCACACACGAGGAGACAGCTCACACACGAGGAGACAGCTCACACACGAGGAGACAGCTCACACACGTGGAGACAGCTCACACACACACGAGGAGACAGCTCACACACGAGGAGACAGCTCACACACGAGGAGACAGCTCACACACGTGGTGGCGCGGCGGTTTTTGGCTCGGCCATCGAACAAAGGCGGTGGTCACCGCTGTATAGACTACACTCTACACTACACTATAAACTACACTATATACTATACACTTCACTATACACTACACTATACACTACACACTACACTATACACTACACACTACACTACATACTATACACTACACTATACACTATACTACACACTACACTACTATACACTACACTATACACTACACTATACACTACACTATACACTACACTATATACTAAACTACTATACATTACACTATACACTACACTATACACTACACTACTATACACTACACTATACACTACACTATATACTACACTACTATACACTACACTATACACTACACTATATACTACACTACACACTACACTATACACTACACTATACACTACACTATATACTACACTATACACTACACTATATACTACAATACACTATACACTACACTATACACTACACTATATACTACACTACACACTACACTATACCCTATACTACACACTACACTATACACTACACTATACACTACACTATATACTACACTATACACTACACTATACACTACACTATATACTACACTACACTATACACTACACTATATACTACACTACACTATACCCTATACTACACATTACACTATACACTACACTATACACTACACTATATATTACACTACACTATATACTACACTATACACTACACTATACACTACTATACACTACACTATACACTACACACTACACTATACACTACACTATACACTACACTATACACTACTATACACTACACTATACACTACACTATACACTATACACTACACTATACACTACTATACACTACACTATACACTACTATACACTACACTATACACTACACTATACTATACACTACACTATACACTACTATACACACACTATACACTACTATACACTACACTATACACTACTACACTACACTATACACTACACTATACACTATACACTACACTATACACTACTATACACTACACTATACACTACTATACACTACACTATACACTACACTATACACTACACTATACACTACTATACACTACACTATACACTACTATACACTACACTATACACTACACTATACACTACTGTACACTACACTATACACTACACTATACACTACACTATACACTACACTATACACTACACTATACACTACACTACTATACACTACACTATACACTACTATACACTACACTATACACTACACTTCGGGTGCACCAATTGAGTCGAGGCTCAAAAGAAAGCCGACCCTTGGTGTGGACCAATCAGTTTCAAGGACAATGCATCATCATATTATCATAGTGTGTTTGTTGTTTGCATTTTGACTGCAGGTATTGTGGTTAATGCAGTGAGATGAATCCTCGTAAAAAAGGTTTCAGTTTTGTTGCCAGAAAAAACAACAACGGGAAAACCCCTATAATTATTATTATTACTACTACGTGTAGAGGTGTTACAGGAGGTTGTATAACGGTGGCCACAACCACGTCCGCTACGGCCACCACCCTGGAGGGCTGTGATCCCTCCCAGCCCCGCCCCT